ATATGCGATCTGTGATCGAAGTGTTTCCCTAGAACTCTCATCCCTTACTCCTACCTTTCAGCTCAACCAATACGGAACGCAGTATATGGAAAATTGAATGGCATCAACAACAAATCATTTTCAAAAACCCTTTTTTCTTTTCCTGAGATAAGCAAAATCCGATGATCTTCCCACTTGGCGCAAACTTCAATCCAATCATGTTCCCCCGTTTTCATTTTCGCCACGGTTTAGCCTTTTCAATAGTGATTCGGCGCCACTGGTGACGGGAAGAATGGATCCCTCATGTCCTGGTAGCTCCCTCTAGCTGGGCTGGCAGCAACCTGGTGACGGAAAGACCGATTGTTGAAGATGGCGCCGCACGTACAAATTTGATTTTTTTAATTGAAACAACTGTTGAAGTACATGTGCTGTTTTCCTTCCAATTATTTTTGGTCAATTGTAAAAACATCATTTTTAGCACTTATTTATTGAAGTTAATGAAGACGCTCTAAGAGCCTCTCCTTCCAAAAAAGAAAAAGACGCTCTAGGAGCCTCAAATGTCGATACCACTAGTCCTGTTATCTCATCTGCAACATCAGTTTACCTATCACGTGGCTATTTGTATACGATGAATTGTTGTGGTCCAGCAGGTCCAATGTTCCATGGAAATCTCACGAGAAAAATTGCAGGTACTATTTGAGACTGCTCCACTCTATGCTCTGTAACTCACGCTCCTAACCGGTCGCGAGAAAAATTGTGAGTACTATTTAAGATTGCTCCACTCTAGGTTCTGTAACTCTCGCTCCTAATTCATCTGGCCAAACAGATCAACTTCAAAAACTTCGCTTTATAAAATAGGTGGAGATGAACCCAAACTCTATATTTTTGTGGAGATCCTCGAGGGTTACTCTAGAAACAATCCCCTCGTATCTACTCGTAGAGTTGGGGTAAAACTGCTAACCACTACCACTAAATATGTAATGGTTAATTTATTCATTTCTTCTCTATGCAGTTTACCCAACCCTTTGAGTTCCTCGCATCACCTCTCCCCCTGACATCAAAGAGATCGACGCATCCTGCACAACCGAAGCAAGAACAACCCCGAGATTAACCTCGACATCCTGCCTATAAGGTCGCATTTGTGTTAGATATATGATCTGTGATCGAGGTGTTTCCCAAGCTAGAACAGTCGTCCCTTACCTTTCAGCTCAACGAATAGCTTGTACAAAGGCGAAGCCAGCAGAAAACTTCACCGGAGTCTATTTGGCTGGTATTAAAGGCGGCTGATAAGTCGGCTGAAGTTGTTTTGTTGTGAGAGAAAAATACTATAGATTCTAACTAATAAGCCGGCTGATAAATTCAAACGAACTCCATGTTATAAACACTATATAACAGTGATTTCTCATTGATTTTGCCAAAAAAAACCATAGGTGTCAGCTGACCCCACCAAAGCACCCTAGCTCCGCCTGCTTGTACGGAGTATATGGGGAAATTGAATGACATCTCCAACAACTTCCAAGGGCATCTCAAAGCGTATAGATCCGTCTCTGTTCCTATATCACGATGTCACATCACTTATAAAAATGCCTTCAATGTCCAAAAATCATCTTTTCATTTAATACATGGGACCCACAAAATAAAAAATTATCTCATCCTCAACCACCTCCATCCCCTTCTTTCTCCTCCACACCTCCCTCACGGCCCCAGCCGCTGCCCCGCCGGTGACAAGGTCCACCACCTGGTGGCGACCTCACTCGCGCTGCGCGCCTGGGGGCGACCTCGCCTGTGTCACCGCCGCCCTAGGTCTTTGGTAGACCACCGCCCCTTGGTCAGCCTTGCACCAACCCGTGGGCCTCCTAGTCGTGCAGCACCGCCGCCAACCGGTTCCGCTGCTACCAGCTGCGACTGTTTTCTCGAACGTACTTCAGGCACGGATTTCATTAAGTAGAAGCGGAGTTTTTTTCGATTACAAAGGACTGGTAGGTAATCCTAGAATTACCAGCGCAATCCCACAAGCACAAACGATACAGCAAGAAAGCACGGGAGAGGGGGGGCTCCACCAGCAAACCCTTACAGACTGAGCCTATCAGAGGAAGACAAAAACACATTGGTAGTCTAAGGTGTAATGTAGCCGCGATAGCCAGCATCCACCAAGGAAGCCAAGGGAGCCGGCACGACAACAGCGGCAAAGCATCCACATGAGAAACGACCACGGCGGCCAAGCATCCGCCGGAAAACGACCATTACGGCAAAGCATCCGTAATGAGGGCCATCACACGCTTTGCAGCTGAACGAGCGTGGAGACCGAAGCGACGAGGTTGCCAAGCATCCACCCAAGCAGCAACAACGGCAAAGCATCCGCCAAAGAACCGAACGACAGCGGCAACAACAAACACCGAAGGACAAACCAATGCGAAGAAAGAGTCGAAGCACAGATAGGCACAGCAGAGCAGGGGGCAACACCGACGAGCAGGCAGCAACACCGACGATCGACGCGCGGTTAAGAGAGTTGTGGCAGCTAGAGTGCCCCAAACGAAGCCTTCAAGAAGGGGATGACAGATGCCAACAACGTTCCAAGAAGCACAGGCAGGATTTTCATCCATAGGATGAACAGAGCTTTTGCATCACGGAGCCTGCCCCAACGACCCGAACGGTGTAGACAGGCTTCGACGACGCCTTTAAGAAGGAAAATGACACAGACTGCGCCACCGCCGTTGGCCCGGAGCAAGAAGCCGGGCAGGGTAGACACCCAAGCACGTTAGTCGACACCGTGGGTCGGGGGAGGGGGGCGCCACTGTGCCAAGGGGCTTCCTGGCCGGCGAGCAGCGAACTCCGGCTGCCGCCCAGGGGGCCACGCCGACGGCGTGCCGAAGTGGACTCCCAGATGCGCAAGAAGGAGGCATGTCCACGACGGCCACAAGGACGCCAGACGGCCCCGACGCCAGATCCGGACCACAAGGTCCCGGAAGGGGCCTCCGTCTCGTCCGCCCCTTGCTGCTCCACTAGCACCGCAACCCTCACCGGATCCGCAGCAGACCTCATGAGATTCGACCATGGAGGGCTCGGATCCGCCCCGACGATGGCCAGCTATCGGAGTTGAGCCACCGCAAGGGGCGCCACCGTGTCGACCGTTGCCAGGCCGACTTTACCGCGCCAGATGCCAGATCTGGCGTCGGAGGCCCCGGATCCGGCCACGGATTGCCAAAGCACACAAGACCGACGACGGCGGTGGCGGCCCACAAGAATGGCCCGGGCGCAAAGCGCAAGGGGGAGGACGCGCCGCGCCGGCTAACCACAGTCACGCTTTCGGCACCGGCGCCACGAGAGATCGGGCACGAGCAAGCGCAGACGCGAGCAGACCGCCCATCCGGCCACCTCGCAGACCCGGCACCGCGTGGATCCAGGCGGGAGCGCACGAACTGAGGCGGAGCAGACCGAGGAAGGCAGATGCGGCGCAGATGTGGACCCCGCCACCGGCCTAGGGGCGCCGCCGGCCGAGGTCGAGCATGGGGAGGTCGGGTGGGTACGGGAGGGAAGAAGAGGAAGAGAGAGGAGAGGGAGCCACGGCAGGCCGCCTTTTTGAGCGACCACCACGGGCCGCCGCCGCCGCTCACCGGAGGAGCAGCGGCGGCGGATAGGAGTGCGCCCGGGTAGGCCCCGACGGTGGCGGCGGGTGGGAGCCCCTCAAGTCGCCACAGAGACGACACGAGGGGAGAGGGGGACGCAAGAGGAGAGGAGCGTTTTAGTCTTCGCCAGCCCCATCTGCGACCGTGGGCCAACTTGTCGCGAGCTTCGATGGCTGCTAGATCTACGGGCACCAATGACATCTTTGTAATCGTAGCCCCAGGCCACGCTGATCGACCGCTGCATCCATGCCGCCGGGAGCATCTTCTTCATCGATCACTTCGTCTCCCTTCTGGCCCCGGTCCCTGGCCGCCTGGCAACAGGCCCCTTGGGGTGGCCGGATCTGTATGGTTTTCTACTTCTAGAATTCATCATGCAGGCGCAAGTGACAACGGTACGGGAGATTGAAGACGGTGAGGAAAGAAAACTATTTTATTTCACGGAAGCTAGTTCCAAGTATATGAACCGGTTGTATATAGAAGTGAGTCCACAATGTATAGATATATCGGTCCTATGTGCAACAATTTCTAATCTCGCCGTTCCCACTTGCTTGGCGCAAAACTCCAATCCGTTCCAGGTGGCGGATGGAGTCGCCGTCTCTCTCGACAAGACTGAGCGTGACGGCGTGACCCTCTCTTGTTGACCCATTTTAAAGTTTAGGTAACGTACAGTTAAAAAGTTGGATACGCATAACTCGACCTCTCCAACAGAGCAGCAAGCCCCAAATGGGAGGCGGCAGGCGGCCTGTCGCGCCGAGGTGGAGGAGACTGTCACGCCGGGGAGGCTCGCGGTGTCGGCGAGGCAGGACGCCAAGCCGGGGCGGGCTTGGCGCGCCAGGGCTGGGCGGCCGCTCTGGGGCCAGCTTCGCCTCGCCGGCCAGGGTGAGCGGCGGGGGGGCAGATCCGCGCACCCCCGCCTCCTCCTCGCCGCACGCAGAGCAGGGCAACGCGCGGAGGTGGTGGTGGGCCGCCGTGCCGAGGTGGAGGCGGGCCGCTGCGCCGGGGCAGGGCTGCCGCCCGGAGCAGGGCAACGCGCCCGCGCTCGATCCCGTGCGGAGGAGGGAGATGGCGGAGGTGAGGAGGATGGCGTGGCCGAGGTGGAGGTGGGCCGCGCACCGGGGCAGGGCTCGTCGCGCCGGAGCAAGCTTTCGCGCAGCAGACCGGCGGGGAGAGGTGCAGCTGCTGGAAGCAGGCTTCGCTTCGGGGGAAGCTTCGCCGCTTCGCTCCGGCGGGAGGTGGGCGCCCGACGGGTAGTAGGCGCCCCAGACGCGAGCAGCCTTGCTCCCAGACGAGCCGGGCACTCCTCGCCTCGAGCCCGCCTCGAGCCCGCCTCGCCCCGCCGGCTGCGCTCCGCCGCGGACCCGCCTCGCCGAGTCGAGCCGGCCGCGCCCTGCCCCGATGGCTCCTACGGGCCCACCACTACATGTTTGCGTCGTCTCTCTTCGAAGACGCAGAATTGCCTTCCGACTCGCCGATGGTTTCGGTCTTCCATTGGAGGAGTGTTTTGGGTGCGTGACGCATTTTTGCGTTTAGGTCACGCCGTTGGAGACAGTCTTACTGGCTGTCGGTCCAAATCTGTCACCACCATGACTTATTAGTTTTTATACTGACTAGGTAACCGAGGGGCAAAGGAGGGGAGGCATACTGAGGAGGATGAGGGTGAAGACGAAGGCGATGGCGAGGACAGGGCGGACGAGAAAGACGACGGCGAACTCCAACGCAGCCGCCAGGCCACCGCTCGCCATGGCGCCGGCGGCAGCTCAGTTCCGGCCTTGCAAGGAGGGGATCCGCTCGCGAGGCTATTGGGTCTATGGCATGCGGGGCCGGCAGAACTCCTTGGCGCAAGCAAAAGCCTGGTTGCAGTTGCAGCGCCCGTTTTGACTTTGCTGGCAATGCAAGCAATCGGAATCGGAATTGCCGAATTGGTGTGCAACCGGTTTCGAAGGAGAAACAGAGTACTAGCCCGTGCACTTCCCACAGGCTAGATCAAATCCCAAGGCAATAATATTTGCGTAAAATCACCCGTTGTCCCTTTTGTGTAAATCACAAATTTGTGTGACCGACCGTGAGTCAGTCACCAGGAACCCAGGACAATCACAACACAACTTTGCTCAAACGTTCATCAGAAGATGCCGGCCTGGCAGGCTGGCCCGATCCAAGCCAGTATTACCACGGGATGGTACAGGTGGGTGGGTGCAAAAATTACAGAGAACTATTGACCCAATATTTCAATTGAATTTCTCATCGCTGTTTAAATAACAACACGACACGGTTACATTACACGTACCCCTTCCATCTTGATGTTTTTGTGGAAGATGCACGGGCAGGCTAACAATGCAACACAATGCCCACATATATGAAAATAAAATTCAGAATATAAATGAGTCAGGCATGTTAGAAACTGACAGCAAATATGTTAGTGTGATCAGGATTCTAGATACCTTCTCACGGATTCCTACTGCCAGGGGACAGAAAGTTGCCATCAAGTTCTGACTGTCGTATTGCCTGTCCAGATTTTAATTTCTTTGCACTTCACTTCATCAGGACTGCAAGAAAACCATATGCCAACTCAGCAGACACCGAATACCTCCCTGTTCAGCAGAAGATCGTTTGTCATGGTCATGTCACATCATCTTACTGAACGAGAATAGCACAGAAGAATGGCAAACCCACTATCGCTGGTATCCCTGCTCCCTCATGGTCACATGTTCTCAACATGGTTTCGGTTGCACCCCGCGCTTCCTTTTGGTCGGTTTTGTGGTACCATTGTCACTGGTAACTTGAGCCACCACAAGTTTTTGAGCAGGTAGCTGGCCAATGAAGAGAACATTTTGTGCCCAACCAGCGTAGCTTCCAAATCTAGTAACAAAGGCATCGGCAACAATAACACTAAGTTTTGGAGTCAAGCTCTTGCCAGCTAGCTCTGGTAATAGATATTGTGTAGCAACCTGCATTAAAATCCATATAGAGTTTGGGTCATATTAAGTATAGACAGCAAACCTTCTTCAGGCTGCATCCTCAAGTTTGATTAAAAAATAATAAGAATTGAAAAAAACACCCCAACTGACCATTTCAGTGTTTAACAGGTACAGTCATTATGAATGCAGAAGGAATATGTATCTACACATGGTGATTGGTTTACTAGCATTTCAAATAATATTTACCTTCCAAACATGTGTGTCAACAGGAATAGCATGATTTTGATCAAGGGAGAACAGAGCAATGCAGGCAGCAACCTTTGGACCAACACCTGGCAGAGTGCAAAGAGCTTCAATCACATCTGAAAGCTCCTTCTTACGCAGTGAGGCAAGCCATTTTTCACCTCCACCAGGTTTGGCCTGCAATTCTTTAGCAGTGCCAACAATGTACTTTGCCCTGCTCGTTTGTCATAAAAAAACACACAGAATTGCCCAAATCAGTAATACTATGAAGCTATCTAGCAATAATGTATACACAAACACAACGGATACTCATGAGCAATTACTAATTTATGATCTATGCAGTTACAATCCATAGAACAAGACTTTTCTGCCTGATAAGATGGTTCCCAAAGGACAAAATGCCAGTATGCTGCAAACACGAAGTTGACTTTTTTATACATATTTACATCTATAGTAAAAACATCAGCAGCATTATCATCTCCACCATAGCACAAATGTTCGTTGCCTGATTAGATCAACAACTAGCCCAACGTACACAGTAGTTTCATTTCTCAACCAAAGCTTCAGTTGAAATAGTAGAAACAATAACTTAATAACCTAGGACGACCTGCCAATGATGCTATTGCTGCAAATGAAATAGCAGCTACCAGAACAAGATAACAACAATAGAAAGAAAATCTTTGAGCTCCAGCCTACGATCTAGGAATTTAATCATGAAGTAAAACTGGCAAAGCCAAACAAAATTTGACGAGTTGTGCTGAATGATACTCCAAATGGAATGCAAAGTAGGAAGGCACCAAGAGCTGACCTGTACCCAAACCCGGCCTCACGAAGTTCCTGCTCCGACACGCGCGCGAGCCGCTCAATCGTGGGGAACCGGTGGAACACGAACCCACCAACCTCGCCGAGCCGCTCCCCGTAGCCTGCCAGCGTCCACACCATCTTCTCGATCCGGGCAATGTTGTTGTTCGAGGAGCAGAGGAACTGGAAGACGCACTCGACGGGGTCCTGCCTAAGCACCCGCGCGCCGCCGCCACCGAGACGCGCGGAGACCTCAGCGAAGCGCTCGTCTGCGGCGGCGAACTGCCGCCAGAGGTCGGCGAGCGAGACGGCCGCGTTGAGATAGTCGCTGAGCGCGGCGCGGGCAGCGGGCACCGAGGAGGCGGGGTAACCGCCGTCGTTGTGGAGGAGGAATGCGAGGCGGCCATCGTCGGAGTCGGGCAGGTGGGAGAGGGAGACGAGGTGGGGCCCCACGGCACCGGTGAAGCGGAGCGGAGAGACGGAAGTGCGGCGCCAGAGGAAGGTCTGGCCGGTGGGGAGGGTGAGCGGGAGGGAAAGGTCGGCCGTGGAGAGCGGGAGTGGATGCCACTCTTCCTGCGCCTCGACGGCCCCGGCAGCGAGGGGGAGGCGGCGACGGGCGGAGGGAGTGGGATCGTGGTGGTCGGGGGTTTCAGGTTTGGGGGCCTCTATGGACGGGACCGGCGGCGGGGTAGAAGAGAGTTGTGGAGGAGACGGCGTGAGCGACGGCGCTCTGACAACGCGGCGGCGGCGAGGAGGCATGGCGGCGACAGCGGCGGCGAGGGGACGAGACCGTGGAAGAAGCGGGAGGCGCATTTTACGCAAACTAGCCTAGAAGAAAGGTACTATAGAATTTAAAATATACCAGGTAGCGTGCATGTCCGTTACTACGGGACAACTAAATTTTTTTTATTAAAACGCACAGATCGCACGATAAGATAGTAATACTGTTAAATTAAATACCAACATTAAATTAATATTTCATTCAAAAAGCAAAGTTCGTTAAATTAACACAGTCACGGAGAGCGTGACGTCGTAGGCTCACAAACTTTATTGTATAGATATTTTCATGATACGACTAAGATAATATTTTATATCGGCAAAAAGAATTCTCCGATATCTATTTCTTTCATGCGCCAAATAAATTTATGAATAAGTTCCGCTACATCTCCATATAATCCTGTACACACAGGTTCGAGTATATATATAAATATTAGTGCATGTGACATGTATAATACTGTATGTCTTAAAAAATCTCTAACAAAATCTTAAAACAAAATTTGTTATACTCATCGTATAAATATGTGTGGCTTTAGTATTATTCCACATAGATATATATTATAGAATAAGGTATCCACTTGAGTGTCTGTTCCAAGATGTTGAATTAGGTGTTGTAATTCTTAATTTTGATATATTTTTTAGGTCAAGACAATCAATGGTGACACTTTTCTTAGTGGTGCATAATTTTATGGGCACATCTTGACTATTTGAGTAAGGACAAGTTAGCACTGTAAAGACTCAGAAAAGCTGCTAAGAAAGTCAATATTGAGTTTTCCTCCACTATGCATACTAAAACCTACGTCCCCGTTTATCATTGCCGATGCTTTTGATGCAAAGCAATTTAACATTACCATGATCCAATATAAGTTTGAATCTCTTGTGAGCAATCTCATAGAGGGACTCCAATCCTTTATGTGATCTGCCTTAGGGATATTGGCATCTCTACCCTACATCGTTCTCTTCAGCAATCAATTGATATAATTTCTAGGGTTGAAGGACTTGCCTGATCTTTGGAGGAAGCCTTGTACGATTGCCGCATGCCACACATCGGATCGCACTGAGGCAGGACGATGGACCCATGTTGGAATGTCGCACCAAAAAATATCCACGTTTTATCCACGATTTATTTTCCATGAATACATGCAGGTACTATGATAACACTAACTACACCAAATGAAAGATTAGAGAGAATTTACACAGCCTCCAGAAGAATTTATTTATTAAGTTCTTTGAACTCTATAGGTAGTTTTGAAATATCTGTTTGCATGTTTTACCTCGTATCCTAATTCAAAATTTTGTAGTTTTATTAGAATATTTTGGTGATTGTATATATATAATATTCAATACAAGAATAATCAATGCATGATCTTCTTGAAAGATTTCTGCAGTGTAAAGACATCTTCATTTTTCGTGCATGTCCATGCTAACGCTACGGTAAAAATAAAAGGACAATATATTAATTAAAAAATAAAACAAAACTCATGCTCAAAGTCAAAAAGATAAATTATGGATGCTTGAATTTTATCATCCATTATCTACCGACGTGCCTATAAAATAGACTGAATAAACAATTAAACATAGATAGAAAACTAAATTAATGAAAGGATCGTTGCAAGACATCAATCATCTCATAGCTTCGGACAATATCGCAGGGTTACTAAAAACTATAACCGTGCCCTCACCTCAAACATTGTTCAGATAAATGGATTACAATGAAAATAGAAGCAAATGTTAATACACATGGAAATAAACGCACAAGTAGAGTAAATAATGTCATTTCAGGAGAAATTTTCCGGGGTAAACTTCAAACCATATCGTTTTGTCCAGCTTATAACACACGTGTACCATACAAATTTATTCACGGCAAAAGGATTATATACACACATTCAATAAATTATGTTTCACAAGAAAAATATAAGAATGATTGAGAAAACAGGTGTGCTCTATCCCTACGTCTTGGAGCGGACTTGGTACCACTATTGCTTTTGATTCGGCATAGCTTCAATGTTCACGGTCATCCGCAACAACTGCACCCTTAGGCTCCTCTCTCCACCTCCTCCGTGTTCTCCATCATGTGGGTTCTCCATCTTTTCATTTACAAGTTTTTGACCTTTCTGCACTTGAGTTAGTATGTCAATAATAAGAAGTTCATATTTTTATGTGAAAACACAAAGTACCACATATATCCTGTTTCTCTTTGTTTTTCATTCTTATTATGTTCATATTTGAAATAGTAACAGCAGGAT